CGCACATAACGCCTACCAACAACAGGCAGGCTGCGTGCCGAAGGGCAAGCAAGTCTGCGCACCCTACTGAATGACCACATGGACTCCTCTGCGCTTTGCGTTTGTACCTCACGCGGAAGGACCAGCAACCAAAGGCTTCATTGAGCTTGTCGCCCAATGCTGTTCCAAGTCAACGTGGACTGCGCGATGCCGTCATCACCTATGGATGATGTTGCGTTTTCTGCACCTACCCTCCACACAAACCCACACTCTCCTATACAAACGGAGCCTCACCAAAGATGATAGGAGCAATAATACTGCAAAACCGGTACACTTTCCAGCATGCATTTCCACCCAAGTCACGGCAGGGCTTGTACAGCACAGAATCAAAACGTCTACGACAAACTAATAGGTTTAGCGGAATGCCTGTCAACCCGAAAACTTCCATCTTCTCCCTGCTAAAGGCGAGCCCCAACCATGTTTACACAGTGTATTCTTCCATTATGATGCCCTTATGGTAAGCACAGATCGTCTGCTGCCTCAGGCTGCAAACCGTGAGAATAGCGACGGGTTTCGCAAATCTTGAAGCAAGAGTTTACGTTGGGCCTTTCTACTATTCATGATCCACAGAAAGCGAAGGACGGCAACAACCTGGACAGGGGAGAAACTCAGATTAGCAAGTGGCTACTGCTTGACATACATGCACAATCTTTCTCCCATAGTTTAAGCGTATTCGGAAGAATTGTTTCCCCCCGCCATAAGGCTGACACGGCTCCTCTCCATATATATATATATATATATATATATATATATATATATATATATATATATATATATATATATATGTATATGTATATGTATATATGTATCGCCAGGTTGTTTGGCGGGCGCAACAGCTTGTGTCAATGCCCATACGCGCCTAACTGTGTGCTGTAGGCTCTAGTGTGTGGTGGATGTCTTCGCGGAAGCAGCTGCACTCCAACATTATCACACAGGGGCAGGTGTCAGGCTGCATCCGTCATTAGTGCGGCCGGATGCACACCGGAACCTGACTAAATGACCGTCGGTGTCGTAATCAAAAACGTTGTGCTCACATATTCGCCTAGGTGGATCAGGGAACTTCAAGAAAGACAATCAGCAGGGATCCGTCGGACCAACAGCAGTAAACTCCAGGCCAGCCTCCTGTTCAACCATCTGAGTAAGCGTGAGTTATGTGTGCTTTCAAATGATGAGCAATTAAAAAATATGATGTTACAAAGGTTAGGATCCTTGCGCTTAGCGAGACGACGGCCTGCAACCAAGTACCGGACTTCAAAATATACGAGCAACCAAGTACGAGTAGCAGGGGTATGGAGGCCCCCGTCTCCATGATGGGGTGGGGGAGGTGGTTCCTCACCCGAATATGGCAAGTGCTAGCGGTCTACATGCTGCGGCTGCGCAAGACCTACCCATACTACACTCGACATACCGGGCGAAAACCGGGCATCAGCTAGATCCATGGCAAAAATGTCTGCGCCAGTCCGCACTAGGGCTACAAACACCAGCTATCGTGATGCATGGATCGGTTGGAGAATACGATCAACAGCATATCCATACAAGATGGTTGGAGAGCTTTATGGAGCTGAGACACCGAACTGCGCATTGCCATCCTTTCTGTAGAGACCGACGGCAACGTGCAATGAAATTAGAGCATAACGCACCGATCCCAATGCGTCTTCAACTTCAACAAGCGTTTTTGCACCCATAAGCCTGCGCCGAGCTTCCTCGTATACTCTTTTGGCGGATTCCAAGCATTTTTTATCGAAAATACGTTCGGGTAGTTCGTAGAGGGCGACGGCTTCAAAGGAATTATGTTGGCGTCCCGTGTCGGTCTCAAGCCACTCAATGAATTTGCTATCTACCAATAGTAGACGTGCCGCCTCCTTTGCCCTAATCAATTCGGTAAGATGGGTCATTTGCGTGTTCAAACATTCAAGAGCAGTTTCTGTGTCATCTGCTTGCGCTAACTTCTGCGCAGATTCTGCCGCTTGGTCCAGAGCGATCTGTACCCGGTACGCAACTTGTTTTATTTTCGTCAGCTGCTCCTCGTAGACAGCGTCTTGGAGCACGCGGCTGTATTCCAATTGGGATCCGCCGCCATTCAACCAACTGGAGATCCTCCGTTCTGCATCT